TTTTCATTTGTCGAATGAACTGTTTGTCAAATACAGAATACATATATTTTAGAATAATTTCTTTTTAAAATGTGGATGAAATGTTTTGCTTTTAATGTATTTTTTATGTATTGTTTTTGATTTGATAACTTTTGACTAAACAGATTTTCTATTAGCTTCAGATCTTGATCAAAGTTTGGCACCCAGTTCATAGCAGTGCTTATATTGATTTTCTGACATCTTGTTTTCTGTAAAGATTTTATTGGTAGGTTTGCAAATGTGTATCAGACTGTGCAATCTCTCCATGAGTTGGTTTTGAAACCCAGTATGGGATTCTGAGATACATTACCAAGGATATTATTACAAGATAAATCATTTGCTTCATTGAACACATACAACAATGCATATTTCAACTGAGATCAGTGACCTTTGATGTGTATCACTAGTGATCAGTCAAGTAGAAACAGTCAAAATATTTTATCAGATTTTCTCAATTTTTGCATGATATTTTCATACAGGACATCTGTTGTTCAAACTCAGGGAAGACTTTATACTGATGAATAAGGTGACCAAGTTTGATAAAGTTTGGAATAGAATTAGTAAAGTTATTATGCACACAATAACAATTATTAACGACGACGACAACGCCGGACAAAATTTTTCCCTTAATCACAGTCCCTCTATCAGGGACTGTGCCTTAATATACCTTTCCCTTCCATCTTTGATGGTACGGGCAAGGTAAACAGTGGGGTAATTACACTGAACATGCGCAGCTCGTTCCCGCCGCTGTGACGTAGCAATGTTGGTAGTGAGCACATGACCATCCTACTATACATTGACGAAACGTACACATTGACTTGAAGAGTTGTAATTATAATCTTTTAGCCGGTTCGGGTTTGTCGTTACATCGACCGAGCGCCACATATGTTATTGTGGACATGGAAGAGGACGACGACGTGTTCAGTCTCCAAGTGGAGTCAACCGGTATGTATGCATCGATATTACTGAAACATGAATACGACAATATATCCCTTTGCCTGAAATAGTAAATACACCAGTCACAGATACAAAATATAGAGGCCACGTTGAATGAAGAGATGATTGTTGATATTTTGGGAGTGTCGTTATATTAACGAGAATCTAAATATGTCTTAGGGCGTAGACTATGGCTTAAAGTGAAACGTCGACCACAACATGCCACATGTTCGCTGATTCGCACGTCTGACGTCAGAGACAATTTTGTCGTGGCGTTTTACCTTTTCATTCTCATGGGCATGGGTGACATATTTATAGTTTATGTCGCAGTGTTTTACTCTAAGACGTTCACAAAACAGAGTGGTAGATTGTTGATAAAACAGTTGTGTTAATTTCAAAATTGACCTTACAATTACATGGTACATCAAATCGACATACCATAAACTTTTATTTTCATTTAAAAATTGAGTGACTTTTGCCTGTTAGACGACGCAGATACGGTAATGGTAAAAGAAGTTATAAATAAATATAGTAATATAAAATGTGTTCAGGTTTTGAAAGGTCATTTGTGTAACTCAAATCTTGGTTTTAGGACAAAGGTCATTCTGCTTAAGGAACTATTCATAACGAAATTAAATACTGCTTGTATAGTTGCAGCTACTGGCTTGGGTGATATCAATATATTATAATAATGCTAGTTGACAATTCTCAAGTTCACTGTGACTTTGAGTTGAAAGAGTGTAGAAATTACAAGTAAGGTATTCAAATGGCATATAGCAAAAACTGGGAACTGAAATTTGGTAGGCTTCTGCATTTTTTTTTCTGTTATGATGTAATAGAAATTAATGGCATGGACATCATATCAAATTACAGTTATTCATGGTAGATATCTTTGCTGTCTACATTCGAACACTACATGTTATAGCAATAGGGTCGTCACCTGAACAAGCCGTGGGAATTGGGTCCTAGCAACAAAAACAACTTGTGCTAAAAATGCAGAGGCTCTTGGGTAGACACTTATTTATAAACAATGACACTGGCTGTATTCCTTCTATCAAATTTAAAAATGACTGTATTTTGAGTGTCAATGTCGTTAATCATGTGTTGTCATGGTAACATGATCTTTGCGTGTTGTCATGGGTAACATGAACTTTGCACTAATAACACACTATTTTCACATTGGATTGATTATACATCAATCTGAATATTTCAAAGTACCGGTATCTTGAAATAACATGTTTCATTCAGTGTTATATTCAAAATAAATTCTAATACAAGCATGGAGCATTGCTGAACAGAATATTAATGTCATATTATGTCTTCTACAGTATGAATGTAATATAAACTAAAATAAACTCAAACTAGGAAAGACAACAATCAGGTGATGTTTGGCTAGCACATAAATTACTTGTCATGAGTAGTCTCGTGTCTGATTACTTTTCTGTTTCCATTTTTAAAAATTTCGTTAAAATTGTTAATTCACAAAATTTAAAAGTTTATGAAAGGGTGTGAATTTTTATAACCTAGGACGTGTAGTAACGGAGAATGATACTTCTTACACACGTGTTACTATAGTTACCTGGACTGAATATAAGAATAGAAGTTTTAATTGAAGTAAAGGTTGCTAATAAATGTTAATGTCTTCTCACAATTCTACTGAAGTAGTGTGTAAAGTATATAATTTATTTATTATGTACATTTATACCAATTGTTTCAGAAAGCCGTAAACATTTGTTGTCAAAATTTACATTTACACCCTGTGTTGCATTCAAATTGGAAAGTTTTCAGGGGTTAGTGGAGTAATGTCCGCTCATACCCTTGAGTCTGTGTTTTATATTTATTTTTATTTACACAAAACATCGCTCCTATTTGCACATAAATTTCATCTAGTATCGTCCCTGCCGTTTTACATAAAACATTACAATTTTTAAGCCCATATAAAATAAACCATGCATTTCAACATTTCATGCTTGGAAAATTGAAAAGATTATTTTTATGCAAATGAGTTGTAATGATTTAGCCGTATGCAAATTAACTCTGGTAATTCTTTATTACATTTACTTTCCTCTGTGTTGAATGAATAACACTTCAATTGTATTTAATTGAAATAGATTTAAAATTGAACCATACGATCTAGCAATAACCGCAGAGGTACAACTTGAACAAATTTATTGTGTGTTTTTCAGATCATTACCAGAAGTAAACATTCACCTGCTGTAGCAAGTGATTGGTCAAGTTTGCTTTCAACGATCATTTGAATTTATAATTTATTCATAAATATTTCAGTATATTAAAATAATCAATGCTCATAAAACCAAATACTACTTAGTTTGTGTAATAATGGTGTACTTCACCCTGGCACCTTCCGATCTTCACCCTGGCACCTATTGATCTTCACCCTGGCACCTTCCGATCTTCACCCTGGCACCTTCCGATCTTCACCCTGGCACCTTCCGAT